TTATATACTAGAAGGCGGAAACTTTGATACTTTCACAAACGAACATTCAGCAGCCTTAATCGAATTCTATGCGCCGTGGTGCGGCCACTGCAAGGCGTTAGCACCCGAATACGAGAAGGCGGCTTCGGACCTGAAAGCAAGGGGCGTTTCCGTGCCCCTGGCTAAGGTTGACGCGACCACCCATGTGGAATTGGCTAAACGCTTCGATGTCACTGGGTACCCGACTATGAAGTTCTGGAACGAAGGTCAATTTTCTGACTATGACGGGGACCGCACAGCAGAAGGTAAGAACCTTTTTGTTCTTCATCGCTCCTCAGTCGAATTTAGTGAAATAGCATAAAAGAATCACGTTTTTCTTCAACAAACTAGCATATCAGTTGTGAAGATGCAGCAGGTGAAATTCATGAGTTTTTCGTTATGCCGAATTATTGTACATCCGGTTTTACTTGAGTACAACGCTAAACAGTTAGTTCATTGCATGGCAGTCAGCTCTCGACGTTTCGGGGCTTACGGCCAGATCATTTTCAGGATAATGGAAATAGCAATTGTCCCTTTTATCTTAAAGGCGAGGATTCGGCCCGTATTGCCGTTAATTGGCTTTTTCATGACGGATCTGACAAAACACTAAATTCGTTCATTTTCTTTTTCACCATTCACATTGTTGTAAGTCTCGATGACTAATGCTTTCTTAGTGAGCTTGCTGAACCATTTTATTTCTCTTGTGAAGTGGCTACACTGTTTCAAGCTCTTTCTCCCTCAAATTTGACTTAGTTTCAATGAACGAAGTTACTTCTGCCACGATGCTCATGTTAAATATGCAGCTGACGTTCGTCGCAGTCATCCACTTTCTCTAGTTTGACAGTTGAAGTTGTGTTTTTTGGCTAACGGTGTTTATTGTTTCTGCAGTTTAATGATTCCAGTAGTTATATGGTATTTTGTAAACGTCATTTAGAGTCATAGTTTTTATCAAAATCACGCTATGCATCGTTAAACTTTTAAAATCTTTCGTATATTATGTTTTTCATTGTCAAGGTCTTCCAACGGTTTGCTCTGCATATAAATTTTATTTAACTAGGAGTCCTGACGTTGTGGATCGAGTTAGATCTGTCTTTAGGGGACACTGTGTGACAACAAAATAAAAGAGCAACCTTAACAGTGTTGGTGTAAAATTTTTCGCGACACGACGCAACGTGCCGTTACTCCAGAATGCCACCGATACAGAAAAATTGTATTCCAAATGTGGAGACATTTTTTTAATCCTGCAGAAAACGGATTAAAATCATCTTTTATCATTTTTTAACCCCTCATCTGTCTGCGTAAAATAGCCTTACCATGTGAGACATAGCCATTTTATTATAATTATGAAAGTCGTCAGAGTTATTGCATTGCAATATTTGCAGTATTTGTACTGAATAAAAAATGATATGAGGACAAACGTGAAGAAACATTAGAATCTACTTGCGTGCAAATAAACGAAGATTGTGTTTTTTTCCGTGAATCACGCACTGATACGCTGACTAAACATTTTAAAGGAAAAGAAACAACTGAGAGAAGAAATCAAGTGGCAAGCTGCTGTTTAAAGGTTTCAAACAGTTGAAGATTTCCGCAGTTCTACTGTCTAACGAAGATCCACAAGCCGAACACCGATTTGAGGCCAGTAGTTTCCACTCGAAATCACATTCAGTCATTCATTTTGTGCTTTTTTCTACCTACTGCCTTATTCGTTACGGACATCAGGAAGTTTAAAATGGCACTTTAAAAACTTCCTTGACTTCGCTAAAGAAATTAGTAAACTTCCAGCATCTGAACGGACCATAATAGCTATGATGAACACCTTTTTACAAACCTTTGTTTTACCTGGACGTTCGCAATCGTTATTTTGAAACTAATCTGAATTGAACTCCTCCTCCTCTCTGGATTCTGTTTGACGTACTCAATATTTGAATGGTTCCCTGTAACTGCTTTCGTTTCAGTGGTCAGCTGTATGAGTAAAACAAACGCGTCCCAATGAAAGGTTTGCATTCGCCATCTTTTGCTAAAGTTTTCATAGAACATTCCGAAATTGCC